TAAAGGAGTAATAAACCAAAAGAATGCAATTAGTGTGAGATAAAGTAACCCTTATTGGTGGAGGGGATTTTGCTTTTTATGATTCGTGATCTACTCATTTTTCTTGTTTCTCAGCTTTGGTTAGAAGAAACTACATATTATGAATGTGCACATTTGAGGTTTCACCGTGTCATATCATAAAACCTATCAGACATGGACATATCCAACCATGTATGCAGAAATTACATTTTACAACCATGCTTTACAAATAATAATAACTACAAGCTGTGATGACGGGACAGCCATTGTTATCATATAGTCATTTAATGTAGTATCCGATTCTCCTAACAAGTTCAATCCGTGAGTATCGCAGACAACCACTGTTTTAGTTTTAGGTATGCGACGCTTGGAACATAAAATTTAAAATATTCACTAGATCTAGCGCTTGGAGTCATTGCCTAAAGCTTAAAGTATTTCTACGTTAGCATCACAAATACCATTTACTTTGTACAGAATATATAAGCCATTTATCTGAATACTGGAATAGACTGTTCTGTTGACTGAATATTTTTTGGCATCAGAACTTATGTATTATTGGTATTCAGTGTTCTGTTCGCTGGAATGCTTCTTTGCACATTTGCGGTCTTTAGCTGCTTAACCGATGACCATGATGGAAAGCTATCCAAGCCCGTATAAAACCATACTTTACCTTTATTAGACAGTTCTAGCCAGTACCGCCAAGCATCGACACTCAAAACAATAGTGAATATGAAAACGACGCAGCTGATAAGAACATCTGGACGGAAAAAGTTATAAATAGTAGCCATCGTATAATAATCAGAAAACACAACTGTCAGAATTAAAATAAGCACAGCCACTAAACATCTGCACAAGATAATGAAAACTGCAGTTGTTTCACCAGGAAGTTGCGAATGAGTGACCAACATTCTTTTGATAATTTTTAAAATAAGTTCGAAGACTGTGATTTGGTTGTTGTCGAACAACTAACGTTCAGCTTAGGTCACCACTCCCGCCCAAAACTTTGCGTCATGAAACATAATAGTCCCTTGTATAGAGCAAATATCAAACATTATACACCGTTCGATAGAGAATTTCATGGGCTACAAAATGATATATCAGACAGTCATAAAAATGTGACTGGGTGGTCCACGATCCGAAATACTCGGTACTATCTCAGCAAACCGATAGGTCAAGCTCATTCATGTTTGTATCATCCGTTTAATTTGTCCTTAACTACTCTACTTTATATATCATCCGATAGATAATTTCACGGGCTACAAAATGATATATAAGACAGTAATAAAAAATGCGCCTGGGTGGTCTACGATCCGAAATACTCGGTACTATTTCAGCAAATCGAAAATGTCCGGGAAGATTTTTAGAAATCCGGCGAGATCTCTACATGCTTCTTTTCCATGAAAATTGAAACGAAATTCAACTTATTATATACCGTTCGATTCGTCTAAGTGTGTTCTATCTACCTGTAAAAAAACTTTGGGTTCTGTTTGCACAGGTAACTGGAGCAGGTAAGAAAGGAAGCCTATGGGTACCACTTACTATCGGCTCAAAAATACAGTACAAGTTGCCGTTTTTCAATAACTCAATAACAGCGTAAGATAGAACGTTGCAGTCTTCAACAATCAACAGCAGACATCTGAGGCTAGTCTTTCACAAGCAAAGTCAGTTGTTAAAAGAATTTCTGAAGCCGAGTTTTCAGCGGATCTTTGGGAAACGAGTTTGGATCTCTAAAAACGGACATTGAAATAGGTCAATTTTTTTTCATAGATATATAGTTCGAAGTGACCTCTACAAAACTGGATTCAAGCAGCATCTCGAAAATCCATGGTTCGGGAGCAATGGTTGTTTTTCCAGAAGCCTTAGGACTCCTCTGCTGTTAGGTTCGGGACTGTCAGAAATGAATGTAAACATAGATTATCGACTATGCTGAATCTCGTGGCAGTGTTAGTTTTCAGAACAAACTGCAAGGATCGAGTGAAAACCTTTACTAAGCGGAATAACCCATTTTTGGCTTTTTTCAGCAAAAATTAGAACATTCATAACTCAGTCATAATCCATCTAACCTACTTCAGATTGTCAGGAAATACTCTATTTTACCCGTAAAGCTAAATAAAAGTTGAAAAAACCAACAGAAAATATTTTGGTTTTTAGAAAGATTTCGCAGAAACCTTCAAAACCAAGAGAATATTTTTTCATTGAATTTAAGTACAGATTCAGAATGAGCGGATAAAATAGAGTATTTCCTGACAATCTGAAGTAGGTTAGATGGATTATGACTGAGTTATGAATGTTCTAATTTTTGCTGAAAAAAGCCAAAAATGGGTTATTCCGCTTAGTAAAGGTTTTCACTCGATCCTTGCAGTTTGTTCTGAAAACTAACACTGCCACGAGATTCAGCATAGTCGATAATCTATGTTTACATTCATTTCTGACAGTCCCGAACCTAACAGCAGAGGAGTCCTAAGGCTTCTGGAAAAACAACCATTGCTCCCGAACCATGGATTTTCGAGATGCTGCTTGAATCCAGTTTTGTAGAGGTCACTTCGAACTATATATCTATGAAAAAAAATTGACCTATTTCAATGTCCGTTTTTAGAGATCCAAACTCGTTTCCCAAAGATCCGCTGAAAACTCGGCTTCAGAAATTCTTTTAACAACTGACTTTGCTTGTGAAAGACTAGCCTCAGATGTCTGCTGTTGATTGTTGAAGACTGCAACGTTCTATCTTACGCTGTTATTGAGTTATTGAAAAACGGCAACTTGTACTGTATTTTTGAGCCGATAGTAAGTGGTACCCATAGGCTTCCTTTCTTACCTGCTCCAGTTACCTGTGCAAACAGAACCCAAAGTTTTTTTACAGGTAGATAGAACACACTTAGACGAATCGAACGGTATATAATAAGTTGAATTTCGTTTCAATTTTCATGGAAAAGAAGCATGTAGAGATCTCGCCGGATTTCTAAAAATCTTCCCGGACATTTTCGATTTGCTGAAATAGTACCGAGTATTTCGGATCGTAGACCACCCAGGCGCATTTTTTATTACTGTCTTATATATCATTTTGTAGCCCGTGAAATTATCTATCGGATGATATATAAAGTAGAGTAGTTAAGGACAAATTAAACGGATGATACAAACATGAATGAGCTTGACCTATCGGTTTGCTGAGATAGTACCGAGTATTTCGGATCGTGGACCACCCAGTCACATTTTTATGACTGTCTGATATATCATTTTGTAGCCCATGAAATTCTCTATCGAACGGTGTATAATGTTTGATATTTGCTCTATACAAGGGACTATTATGTTTCATGACGCAAAGTTTTGGGCGGGAGTGGTGACCTAAGCTGAACGTTAGTTGTTCGACAACAACCAAATCACAGTCTTCGAACTTATTTTAAAAATTATCAAAAGAATGTTGGTCACTCATTCGCAACTTCCTGGTGAAACAACTGCAGTTTTCATTATCTTGTGCAGATGTTTAGTGGCTGTGCTTATTTTAATTCTGACAGTTGTGTTTTCTGATTATTATACGATGGCTACTATTTATAACTTTTTCCGTCCAGATGTTCTTATCAGCTGCGTCGTTTTCATATTCACTATTGTTTTGAGTGTCGATGCTTGGCGGTACTGGCTAGAACTGTCTAATAAAGGTAAAGTATGGTTTTATACGGGCTTGGATAGCTTTCCATCATGGTCATCGGTTAAGCAGCTAAAGACCGCAAATGTGCAAAGAAGCATTCCAGCGAACAGAACACTGAATACCAATAATACATAAGTTCTGATGCCAAAAAATATTCAGTCAACAGAACAGTCTATTCCAGTATTCAGATAAATGGCTTATATATTCTGTACAAAGTAAATGGTATTTGTGATGCTAACGTAGAAATACTTTAAGCTTTAGGCAATGACTCCAAGCGCTAGATCTAGTGAATATTTTAAATTTTATGTTCCAAGCGTCGCATACCTAAAACTAAAACAGTGGTTGTCTGCGATACTCACGGATTGAACTTGTTAGGAGAATCGGATACTACATTAAATGACTATATGATAACAATGGCTGTCCCGTCATCACAGCTTGTAGTTATTATTATTTGTAAAGCATGGTTGTAAAATGTAATTTCTGCATACATGGTTGGATATGTCCATGTCTGATAGGTTTTATGATATGACACGGTGAAACCTCAAATGTGCACATTCATAATATGTAGTTTCTTCTAACCAAAGCTGAGAAACAAGAAAAATGAGTAGATCACGAATCATAAAAAGCAAAATCCCCTCCACCAATAAGGGTTACTTTATCTCACACTAATTGCATTCTTTTGGTTTATTACTCCTTTATTATCTGAATGAGGAAAGATTCAAGCTTTACCGATGTGGTTTTCACTCAGTGGAAATGACCAAGCATGAGCTCGTACAGCAGCGCTATTACCAGGACGTTTTAACGCTTCACTCCTTTCGTGTTTAAAATATGCACAGGGCATAATTCCAATTTTAACAGTAACATCTAATATTTAAATAGCAAGTTAACTGTTATTTGCGGCTTGCTGTTCATCGAGGACTTGTTCTGATTCTTCCTCACTTTTTTGACATACATCAGCGTAAATTCCTGCACAATCTTCGTGCACGTAATACAACCATCTATCTGCCGATTTGCACTCTTCCTCGGTACAATAATACCAAACTAATGGTATTCGCCCATCGTCGTGTTTTGAGCCGCATATTTCGCAGAGAAAGCACTTTTTTTTGTTTCTGCTTATGAATATCGTTAACGGGTGAGGGTGTAAAAAGAATTTCTTTTTAACGCTACAGAAATAGCCTCTGACGTATTTCACACGATTATAAATGGTACGAACTGTGTCCGGTACAACGGCTAATGTTGCCCCGATTCTTTGGCTTCCTTCCAGTTCGAATTTTAGACGTTCCTTGCTTCGCTTTGATGCTTCTAGTTGGATTATTCTCATTTTCTGTTGATCTTCTAACTATTTAAAAAGATCTTTCTGTAAATGACTGATTTTTGTATCAATCTCTGTTTTCAATTTGTCTACGGTGTTCAAATACTCCGGAGACTTTAATTCTGCCATCTTTTTCTGGTTAAAATTTTCAGCATATGATGTGTCAGCAGTAAACACGATGGGTATATTGTCGGTGACCAAAACTTGACGAATATTTCTCTTAATATTTCCTTTCTCTGCGTATACATTAACAAACTCATGCAATCGATCGAATTTATTAACAACAATAATCAGACGTTGTTCCGCTATTGATTTAAGTTCTTCCTCTGTTTTATTCGCATTGTCTTCCAGTTCTTTGATACCTCTTATGATCATGTCAATGACTTTCTTATAGAGATCTCTAAAGGCTTCTTTTATTTTATTGTCAATGACCAAAAGATATATTGTCATCATTTTTGTTAAATCAACGATCAATTGAGCGATATGGTCAACTTCTAACTGTGTTTCGAAGTTACCCATGTCTTCCTTCATGCGAATAAAATAAAGATCTCTAAAAGAAATAAGAAAAGAAAATAAGATCTCTAAAGGCTTCTTTTATTTTATTATCAATGACCAAAAGACATATTGTCATCATCTTTGTTAAATCAACGATCAATATATATAGAATTGTAGCGCGAAAAATTCTCTATCGAATGATATATGTATCGTCGTGGATAGTGGTCAAGTGCGGAGCACAGGATCGTCTCCGTTCAATAAATCACCCACTGGCTGCGTCTTTGCATAAAGTATTTCTAATGTCAAGGTACCTTAGGACACTTTTCTCACTAGTTTATATATATGCAACTGTAGCGCGAGAAATTCTCTATCGAGTGATATGTGTATCGTCGTGGGTAGTGGTCAAGTGTGGAGCACAGGATCGTCTCCGTTCAGTATATCACCCATATGCTGCCGCTTTGCAGAAAGTATTTCTAATGTCAAGGTGCTCTAGGACATTTTTTCGCCACTTTGTTCTGAAAAGGGGCGTTCAAATAGCCGAAAGTTCGCATGTCTCGGAAAGAATGGAAATTTGGTTCTATGATGAGTATGACCAGCCGACAATTCTTTTACCGGAAAATGTTCCGCATAGCCAGCTGCAAAATGTTACCCAATCTGAACTAGACAAAGCGCAAGCAGAAGATCTGAGCCATTACGTGCGGGAAACGTATGATGTTATTATTATGCAAGTTGGTGATACAGGGGTGGGAAAGTCATCTCTTTGTCAAGCTCTAACGGGTAAACTTGGCTTTAGACACGGCAATCTGAATGGCACAGCATTGCCGCCGAGAGCTGGTTTTATTCACATACCCACAAATCAGTATTTACCATCCGATAAACAATTACGCTATGTAATTATTGATGGGCCTGACTTAAACCAGGCTGTCGTAGATAGAACTAGGAATCTTTATTTTATTCGCATGAAGGAAGACATGGGTAACTTCGAAACACAGTTAGAAGTTGACCATATCGCTCAATTGATCGTTGATTTAACAAAGATGATGACAATATGTCTTTTGGTCATTGACAATAAAATAAAAGAAGCCTTTAGAGATCTTATTTTCTTTTCTTATTTCTTTTAGAGATCTTTATTTTATTCGCATGAAGGAAGACATGGGTAACTTCGAAACACAGTTAGAAGTTGACCAATGGCTGAAATATGACGCTGCGCAAGCCTGTCCTGACTTTCCAATATTGACTGAAGAAAAACTCAGGGAGTTTACACTTGGTGTTTTTCAGGTGAAACAAGCGCGTAGCTATACAATCGAACACGTAGACCTTGACGGAGAATATGAAATACGAGTTCGAAAGGAAGATCAACAATTGCTTCGTCTATATCTTCAAAACAAACATTAAGCCAGAAAAAATTACCATATTTTGATTAAGCACAATGATGAGACTGTCACTGAAGCATGTTGTCAATGTCCAGTCGGTTCAAGGATCGTCGGAACATGTAGTCATGCCACAAGTGTTATATGGTACATATTTATAGCAAGACACGAACCAGAGAAATATCTGACCACCCGATCATCAAAATACTCGGAACTTTTTGAAGACGCGAATCATTACTCATCTGAGTCATCTGACGATGACAATACACTCTATACCCTCGCTGATTAGAATTTTCACTACGTTAGCTTACAAGGCATGGAAGGTTTCGGTCTTCCCTAAGGGCCTCGTCAGAGAGAAACTTGAGATCCAAACACTATTTGTGTGCAGAAAAATACATTATATGTCTTATCTAATTCTCAATTGTTCAAACTATCGCATGTTAGCCATTTTTTGTACATACGTCTTGGAAAAAATGCAATTTTTAAAAAAAGCGAATCATTTTTTAGCTTCATTTTGGCATAACTAAAAAGAGCATTAAAAACTGAGTATAATAACCTCTGTTTGGTAAATGAGCCATTGAAGCAGACAATATTAGAGAGTCCAAAATTTTTTGACCAAATTCTGAAACCAGGCATCAAGACGAGTATAACTGGTCGCTTTTCAGACGAACTCAGCAACTTCTCGCACCTTAAAATGGCTGGAAAAGAAGGTAAGTCATTTTAGGTGTCCTCTAGAAAATTCAATTTTTTTCAGTCAAAATGGTGTTTTTTGACATTTTTGATGTCATATTCGTGATCAACATAAAATTTTGCGTCGTATGATTATCTTTTATCCCATTTTGAGAGAAAACATTTTCCGATGTCCCTGAGATCCCCTCAGCCTCAAAAATTTTCGAAAAATTTTTTTGCCGAATTTCAGAAATCTGAAGCGACAGTTTTGTTCAGAATTTTTTGCTGATTTCGAAAATATATGTTTTATCTTATTTTATTGGGGCCGCAAAGTGACCTTATTCGCCTCCCTCCTTTCTTTTTTGAGATTCTTTCTTTTCCGTTAAGGAAACACTTAAATTATTAATATTTCATAAAATAAAACTTCCGTATTCCAGTGAAATCCCGCTGAGTGGCTTGAAGAGCTTGAAATACAGATAAGTTGATATGCTCTATAATGTGATTGCATCAGAACTGGTTCATTTCAAAGCTCGTCGAGAACCTGTAGAGATCCATCCAAGAATAGACTCTTAGCAGAAATGGATACCAGATTTGTGATCAACATAAAAAATCACCCGTAATCAGTTATCTCTGAAAGAAACGTCAAATAGAATACTTAGATACTTTCTCTGGTCAGACCCAAAGAGCTGAAGACTAACCACTTTTTTCTTAAAGCGAGAAAGGGTAGAAAATTTGGGAACATTTTGTAACAGGCATTGATGAAAATCACTTGTCTAACAGAGACCAGTAAAAAAGACAGTTCGGCTTGAAACGTCGGAAATATAATCCAATCGAATCAAGAAAACGCATATCTCCAGAATTCTTTCATTTAGTTCAATTCTACAGCAGACTTAGCCAGGATCAACATAATATATACCCAGTGTTTCCTTTCCGCATCAGCTGCGAATGACGTGTGATAATGCCACATTAAAACGTTCGAAAAAA